TTTTTTCTCTGAGCTGCTACACAAACATTACCCCACGCGGGCCCCACTCACACAAAAACACACAGTTAATAACAGTGTTGTTTCGACTGTATGTATTGTGTGTAAGTATATGTGGTACGTATCAATCGCTTTAATCGATTTGTGTTTGTCTGGGTGGACCTTTGTTTGTTTATCGCCCGCATTCATCGTACCCTTTCTCATATGTCTTTGTCCAACACCAAAGCCCAATGTCCATTAAAATGACCTTACTAGGCTATGCACTTATGTGTGTTTTTTCACACGATTATTGTTAGTTTGGATCATTCATTGCATCACTACACGTTTACTATTTATGGATAAATTATAAATTTAGTTCAATTATTCAACATTTTAAGCTCTTTTTTGGTTCACTCTCGACTCTTTTGTTCATATATAAAAACTACCTTACACACTGATGTCTTATTAGTTTTTCTTCTTTGTTGAAGAGCCAAGCAACTTTGATTCTTTTGCCTTTTTTTCATTGAGGCTCTCTATATCTAATTAGTTAATTAAAAAATATATTAAATAATTAATTTAAATTTTCATCGATATTAAAAAAATTCTCAATTTAGTAATTATATATAAAGAGTTAATGACTGTTATTAAGAGAAAGCCCTCTTAATAACATATTTGGCATACATAATCATAAGAAAAAAATAAGAATATTATTATCATGTCCTAAAAAAAATTCAAACACTCACTTTCCCACCATAAGAATTTAAACACTAAATTTTTATTTTTTATGAATGCAATTTTTTCCCCCGAATAATTATTGTTAGACTAGAGCTTTGTTGGTGATCACTTAAATTTTACTTTTTTTTTGTACATTTCTTTATATAAAAAAAATCCAAAAATACAATTTTCAATTAATAACACCTAAAATCATGTTGCATGGAGAAATGCTAGTAATTAATTATTGCTAAACACTCGCTATTATGATTGGTTATTGTAAATTGTTTTCGGTCCATCACAAGAACTGTAATTTTGTAGAAAAATCAAAACAATGAATACTGATGTAGAGGCACGGACCCATGAAGGGTCCAGTAGGGGAGCTGTCCTCACTAAATTTTTTTATTTATAAAATTATCTATAGATTTTGTGAAATTTTTAAAAATATTCCTATTTTTAGTAAAAGTTTTAAATATGTCCCTGCTCAATTTCTAATGACACCCTATTATGCATTATTGTTGTTCAAAATCGTCCCCTCTCATCATTGACTGTTGAGCATCAAGTAAACAATAATAATTTTATTTTCTTTCTTTTCAATATATATAAAAGAGTAAGATGTAAGAACTCATTTTGCATTGAGAATTAGTAAATTCCACTAAATTTGGCATACAATTAACCCCATTTTATCAAAAGTAGGTCCGCATGACACAAAACGTACCATGTAGGTATAAAAGATAAAGAAAAATAAATAAAATAAAGTGAAATAAAATAAAATAAAAGAAAAGACGAAGAGGCAGAGAAAGAAAAGCAAGAGAAAGGAAAACTAACCCCACACCACTTTTAACATTGCTAGCTCCTTGGTTAGTCGCTACCAACCTGGTGGGTCCATTTAGAAGACAAATAGTATCCCATGATTACAGACAAATCTGGGGCATCTCAAGCACAGTTAGGTGCTTTATTAACAAAAGTTTGTTGTGTGTGTATGTATATATAGACACGTACACACACACACGTATGTGACACCAATAATTAAAAAAAGTTTTTGGGTGGATGAGGTTATACATTTATTATTGTCCTAGTAATTTAATTTTAGCATTATATGTATAACTCAGTTCAACAATGATGTTTAGGTCTACAATTTGACCCCCTTTTTTTATTTTATTTATTTTATTAGGTCTAATGACTTTACTCAAGATAAAAATTGGCAATGGCGAATCCAGGAATTATTAATGAGGGAGGCTAATATTAAATAAGGGAGAATTGAGGATCCAAAGATTAAAAGGTTGAATTTTTTTAGAGGATATAGAGTTAGACTTTAGAGGGAGAGAAGGAATAAACTCTCTGATTTGTAAAAGATTAGGAATTTAGGAGTTCTCTGTGTTTTGGCTTAGTGATTGGTTAGGGCTTGTTTGGGTTGGGCCTATTTGGTTGGGCCTTTGTTTTAAAATTGTGACTTAAATATTGGGCTTGTTTGGATGGGTTAAATTAGGGGGCTAATACTACTACTAATTTATTTATTTATAAAAAACATTGGGCTAAATATACTTATACTAATTTTTCTTTTTTCTTTTTTTGGAAAGGGGGGCTCAAGCCCACCTAAGCCCCCCCTTGGATCCGCCACTGGAAGTCAGTCAAATTTACAAGTCTAACTATTTTTTTTTTTTTTTGAGAAAGTTAGTCTTATTATTTTTTTCCTGAGTTAATTTAATACGAAATGTATAATATACTCACTCTAATACAGTATGATTAATGTGAATTACACTCACTTGAAAATTATAATTAACTCAATTTAATTATAATGTTATTTAAAGTCAATAGTAATAGTAGTTACTACCTTATCTTCTAAAGTAGAAGGTAGAAGGTAAGGTAGATTAATTTCTAATTTAAAATAAATAAAAATAAAAAGTGACCAATAGACATATTTATATACATTTATGAAAGTATTACGATTTACGAGATTCATCTCATCAACATCTATTTTAAAATTGGCTGAATATTTCAAGTTTCTTTTTTTTTTTTTTTTTGCCTTTTTCTTTCTATTGAAGGAAATTTTTTTCTTTAAATTAGGAGGCATCCGACCCTCTTAGGTCACCCAATTGATGGTGTCGGATACACACACTAGTTCATTTGACACACCCACATTGGGTATGACCACCATAAATCCCTCCCCAAGGAGGACTCAAATTTAGGAACTGTCCATCTTGATTCCTGGGTCCTATTAATTTTTGGTATATATATATATCTGTGTGTGTGTGTGTGAAATGAAAAAAAGATGACTATTATAAATTTAATGTACTACTTCAAATGGTGGTTGGAGTATGGTTAAATCAATGTGGGCACTTAGGTTAGCATGAAGACAGAAGTTAGTGGGATAATATGTTTGGAATGGGAAAATAATAGCCTTACAAGAAAGACATCTCCATCATGGCTATCCCAAACTACTTGTATTGTTCCCTTATTAGCATGGCAGCTTAGACCTACTACACTACACTACCAAATAATTTAGAAAAGTGTTATATATATATATATATATATATATATATATATATATATCTCCCTCCCTCAAACAAGTCACAAAAATTGGATGTCCTCAAGTGCAGACATACAAGTTACTGTGATGTCCCTTCCATGTGACCATTATGATTGGCCAAAAGCTACAATTATGCAAAAACAAAATAAAATGAAAATATGTGGGTGTATGTGTGTGTTTTAATTTTTAAGATTCTTAAGAGTGGGGAAAAAAAAACTCCATGTTATTAAATAATTGGTACAGGTACTGGATTAACAATAATGCCTTTAAGGTACTCCTAAATCGTTGTTTCTAGTTTCATAAAAACTGATATAAGAGTTTAAATGATACATGTGATTTGCGGGTGATTACTTGCATCCCACAACTCTTTGAAGTTATCATGCACTTGGAAGAAGAAATAGAAAAATAAATAAATATAGTGATAATTTGATTCTTCGTCACCGTAATAAATAGGGGAAAAATGGAATTTATTTCTTCGTTTTTACAAAAGAAGAAAGTAAGAGTAAATTGTGGCACGTTCACTAACAAAATGATGTACATGAGGGGATTGCGGAGTTTACAAACCATTATAGTGGCTAGGTTTAAATAATGTACGTGATTTGCAGTCCTCTAGAGTTTGCAAATCCCAAATCACTGGAGAGCCCAAAGTGACTAGCCGGTGACTTGATTTTTTTGTTAAAAAAAAAAAAAAAAAAAAAATGTATTTTGATTATTCCCACATATTACATCATAAAGCTCATAATGAAAAATGCCCAAAACAAGCGTGGGACTGATTGCCTCATTAATTGGGGTCCATGACTTTTGGCCCATTGGTCGATGTTGGGCTAAGTGGACTGGGCCCAACATGCCGATAATGAAGTGTCTTCTGATTTATTTTATTTGTTCTTATAAGGTTTACAATTTCTCAAACAAATAAATATCTAATGTCTTTCACCAAATTTGATTGAAAGGTTCAGCTCTAAGTAATGGCTACTATAATGGGTCGACATGTTGTTTGATAAGTTTGAGGGGTGGTTTTTTGTCGTATATATTTTGATTTGATTCAATGGTGTATATATATATATATATATATATATAAAAGACTGTTGGATTAGGCCTGATCTGAAACAAGGTGGGCCTCGCTTATTAATTCCAAGAATGGGCAAGGGTTTTGTCACTGTCCCATGTATAGGGTTTAGTCTCCTAACATGTTCCTTCCACATTTAATTTCCTGGTACGAAATTTAGGGAGCACTTGGTGAGGATGAGATTTTCTGATGCTCCTAAGCAACTTGTTTCATGAATCACAAAGTTACAAGTGTTATAACACAGTAGTAACTCTTTTGTAGCTTGCTTTTGTTTGGGAAAAAAAATTTAGAGCTCAAATAAATAAATAAAAATACAAAATTTTGTGATTCACTGAAATTAAAGTTATAGTCATGGAGTCATCGGAATTTCACTATAACGAGGAAAAGCAAAACAAATTATAAACATAAGAACAATTCATTGTTCATTGCATAATTAATGTATTATTCTGTAGATCCTATGCATGTGGATCAATCTAGTTCATCTACTTTTTTTAAAGTCGGTTGGGGGTCTTTATCTTTTTATTTTTATTATATTTATTTAGATAAATACTCACACACACCAACAAATGTCCAGTGCGTTAAGATCTTACTTATTATTAAGGTCATATGGCTAAAACTGATTCATGAAGAATAATATGTTCCTAATTGAAAAGGTAATTTGGATGGAATAAAGTAAAAAGAGTAAACCATATACACGATTTAAATAATTTTGATTAAAAAAAAAAAAAAAAAATCACTAAAATTTATTGCAGGTTCATACAACTTTTTTTTTCTTTTTCCTTTTCATATATCATGAGTCAGCAAACACATCCTTGTATCACATATTTTTTACGAACCATTTAGTCATGGCAAAAAATGTACTGTACAAGGAAACATCATGTTCAAAATTCAAATTAAAGTATAGCAAAATGGCATGCGGACGTGAGAGGCAAAATGATGAAATACTTAATTTGGGGCATTTGTAATCTCTGGCATTTCTTTTTGCAATTGATCGGTGGATGAAACTCTGGGTGGTGGCGTTTGTTGATCATCTTGAACAATGTGATCTTGAGAGTTTTCGGCGGTTCTTCCGCCACGAGAAGAGAATTCAGCAAGAGTTGGTGATCTGCGATGAGATGAAGAGGAGAGATCCACAGAGTAGCTGCTTATGCTGTTGCTGCGTGTAGTTGATGATTCGTGGAGTGGAGACACTGAAGAAGATTGTGGTTGTTTCTTCCTTTTGCCTCTCACGTCCGTATGCCATTTCTTTATGACATGCACTGTCTGCTCCTCTAGCACTGCACTCTTAAATTGTGAACCCATCTGCATTCACATATAACACACCCAAATCATGGTATGCGGAATCCGACATTCGGACAACTCTGACTCATTTGACGGGAATAAAGCTTCATTAGCTTTATAACTAACATCATCGTCATATTCAAGATTCATATATATATATATATATGTACACATGCACGCATTTATGCGTTCATATATATACATAGAGAGCGCATATATATATATACACACACACAGATAGAGAGCATATATACCTGGGTTACAAGAGCGTACAGTGGAAGGGTAATGTAACTGCAAAGGACTTGAACCGTGACCCTAGAAGATTTTATGAAATAGGTTAGTAGTTATTAGCGCATGATTTTTTTTGAAAAATAATTAGTGAATATAATTTTATGTAAATGCTACCGTGTACCATCTACAATAGCCAATATATTCTAAGTAATATTTAGATTACTTATTATAAGAAAGTTTAAATTAATGTTGTTTTTGGAAGAAGTTACTCAGTTTGATGTTCTCAGACATAACATTTGGTACATATTAAAATCAATTAAGAAAAAACTTGATTGAAATTCCAACAAAGAGAAATTACATAATTAGTGCTTACGCTAATACGATTCTGATAATGATGATCTCTATACGTTCATGGTAGCAAGACTTAAATCCAAATTGCCACTGAAAAAAATTAAATTAATAAGAAAGAAAGGAAGATAAAAACATAAAATTCAGATTTTTGTTTTTTCTTCGGGATAATAGAAAAGGAATATATATGAAATGAAAGAATTAAGAGAAAACAATAAATTAAATATATACCGTGACCCAAACGAAGAATGAAAGCTCAAATGCATTCTGTAAAGAACAAATCAATGATCAGTTTATTGGCAATTATAAAGAAGAGAGTTTCTTTTTTCTTTTTAAGTGCTTTCTTTGTTGTATATATATAAACATAATTATATACTAATCAGTAATTAATTAAGTAAGCTGCATGGATTAATTACCATAAATAGAGTTAAATGTAGAAGAGTCAAGACGAAATCGGGATGACTGAACCAGAAGAGATTGTCATTGGGTCGGACCAAAGGAGATCCTCTAGTCACATTCTCTTTGTCTGTGAGTTGAAGAGCCATTTTTGCCACTATTACTTCCAGTTTGGTTCCAAGAACCAGAACTATCTGCAAAAACACGTGTATTGTCCGCAATTAATGAAGGAAAATTTTTTTTTTAATCAACTATCTTACATACACGGTCATGACCTTGATGAACACTAAGTGTGACACATGATATTATGTACTGCTATTTACATAACATAATACATCGGTTACACAACACACATTATAAAGTTATTGCATAAACAATTTAAAGTTGTACAATCGATGTGAATTATTGCATAACCAATATATAGTTGTTAGGGTGACACGGGATGGGACCGGACATTTTATGACACAGGAGGGAAACCGGGGTCATAAAATTGTTATATATGAAAAATGAGACTTACAATCAGTGGAAGAAAAGATACCCAGAGATACACATGCCAACCTGTTCAAATCCATAACATTTATGAGATCACTAACGTATAATAATGTGGGAAAGGTGACATATTATGCAATTTATGCACATAAATACACATATCTGTGTGTGTCTGAATATACTTACCATGCACGTCTACAAGCAAGAAGATGACGACTAAGAACCACATGAAAGGCCTGTAAATTCATGGAAAGCAAATTATAGAAAGTTAGACAAAGAGACCAGTTACTAATTTCAGGGTAGCTATAAAGTATAATTGCAAAATATTAATTAAATTGGGTAAAGGTATAGTCTATAGATATAAAATTGAAGGTTTAAAATGATATACAAAATAAGATTTATTAGTCCTATTAAAATTTTGAAGGACTAATTTATCTTTTGTAAAGAGAAGTAAAAAATTAGAGGCAATTTTTAAAGAAATAATCAGCGTTACAAATTAGTGAATTACATAAGTAAAATATGCATATATATTTACCTGATGCCTACAACAACTTTGAAATCATCTTCCAATGATCGTTGTATGTACTTTCGGAAGTTGAAGGTATTGTTTGTCGACAGATGTGCCTGTAAAAAAAAAATTGTAAATCACATTGGTCATGCATTATTTTATTTTATTTTATTTATTATTATTATTATTATTATTATTTTTTTGTGGTAAAGTCAAATTTGGACTCCAATAGAATTCACGAGAGTGATTCTACAACTAGACTATCCATCTCACCCTATTTAAACAAGATTTTAAAAAGCGAAATATATATATATATACTACAGTTGAATTTATATACGGAAAAATGTTGTGCTCTGTTATCCAATAAATGTTGGAACGAATAATTGACTATGTTTTATAATAAAAATAAAAATAAAAATAAAAATAAAAATAAAAATAAAAAGGTGAAAATGAGAATATAAAGTGAGATACCAACCGCAATAAAACCATGGCGCAATGTGAGGTAGTCAACTTTTGCTACCGAATGAAAGAATTGGCGAAAGAAACATCTCTGTTACATTCAACATTCATTAGCATATATATATATATGTGTGTGTGTGTGTATATATAAACATGATAATAGTAAATGAAATGAAAGAGAATTATGAATATCATTATGAACACTCACAATCCACAATAGGGCTGGTGTTGTTGCACAAGAGTCCATATGTCGCTTCCCGAATGTGGTTTGTCTTGTGAATCTAAACCGATTTGGATCTAAATGTATGACAATATTATACGTTAAAATTCACAATTATTTAGCTGTCTCATAATAATCCTCCATCATTTCTAGCTTTGAGTATGTAAAATAGGACACGCATGACATGGGCTAATTCAGAATTAAATCAGATGTTGCTGATTAATTATTCTAAATTTCATGGGTCGGTCCAAACCAAATTATTGGGCCAAAGACCCAAAATAAACATAATCATACTCTGGTTAGCTATTTGGTTTGATAGCCCATATCCAGTCCAATTTCAACGCCCAAAAGCCCTTAATCATTTTTTTTTTTTTTATATATTTTTATTTTTCCTGACAAACATAGAAGAATTACAATAGAACACAAAGATCAGTCTGGAAAAGTTGTACAATATGAGAAGGAACACACTCTAACACAATATCATTCTGATTTAGATGCTTTGAAAGGTTGGCAATCTCATGAGCCACTGTATTCCCTTCTCTCCTAACATGAGAAATATTTAGCTCCTTGAACCAACTCAAAGCTTCTTTGACATTAAAAATTAATGTTGAAATTTCAAATGGAGGAAATTTCACCTCACAAACCGCATCAATCACCATCTTAGCGTCACATTCCAAAAGCCCTTAATCACATGATCCCATGTGGTGCCTATAGAATTAGTGGGGCCTACTATAATTTTTTTAAATATGTATATGTCAGTGTGTGTGTGTGTGTGTGTGTGTGAAGTTATCAAGTTATTATCATGCAAATATGGGATTATTTTTATAAGGTCAGTAACAACAACCGTGAGTAGACGGTAAGTAAGAAAAATTGGACGACGAATTCCAACCCCTTTTGAGTATCAAACAAAGGATAACGTCTAGAACGTTGCATAAAGTCGTCTTCAAAGCTCACACTAGTGTCCCATTGAAGATGGGTCATGTATATTTTACCCAAAATTGTGTATGACCCGTTTATTGAACAACTTAGTTAGAATGGCCGTGCTCGTTTTATTTATTTATGATTAATTTATACATACAAATTTTTAGGTAGGGTCAATATATTTGAAACTAGTAGTAATTTGAAATATATATATATATATATATATATATATATATATATATATATATTGGAGTAGTTAATATTCGTATGTAACTTTAAGAGTACGTTAATGAATAACGTGCAGTGAGCCAGTGAGATACAATTAGAAAAAAATTATATATATATATATATATATATATATATATATATATAATACTCGTGTTTTGTAGACATGGTACTATGTGTGTCAAATTGTCAGTTACTCCATATGTGTGTGTGTGTATATATATTAGCTACAGAGTATAAGTATGTAAATAAGGTTCCTTTGAATTAGCAATTGACATTTGAGCGAGGATGGAAAAAAGTTAGCAGTGGAAGAAAGAGCTCATAATAAATACATAAACTGATGAAATCGTACCGTTAGCTGCCATGTATTCAACTGTCTGGGTTTCTTTCTCCCAGGATTTCCAATGCCTCATCTACCCATAAATTGCCACAAATATTCAAATGTTAGTAATTCATTATTTGTTCATTAATTTATTTTTTATTTTATTATTATTATTTTTAAGAACACGTGTATCGGTCCAAGAACATACAAACCATTTAAGTTATAAGTGCAGTTCGAAAGCGAGACCTCAATAACTTACTTTTCAAATCCCCGCTATACTCCTAGGGACATACCCCAATCTTTATCTAGCTTTTTATTATTTGTTCAATAATATTGACCACCCTCCCACCTAGAATAATGTGGGATCCGCATTAAATATTTAGGTAAATATCAAATGCTTGGTCTTTTATTTTATTTTATTATATTTCTTAATACAAATTTTTTTATCCCAAAAGCAACATTGAATGCACCCTTTCATTTGCACCCTCTTTTATTGAATTGACGCACATGTTATGGAGTGAGACTCTCGATTAATCAGGTATTAAGCATGAGAATATGGACTCAATCACAGAGTGCTCTCGTAATATATTGACTCTTTTAAAATTTTCAATTACTTCACCTTAGTCCCCCAAAAAAATCAAAATCTGTCTACTTCCAAGGTTTTATTGTTGGGGCCAAGGACTTTATTGTTCTCAACCACCGTGATGTCTTGATCTCCAAAATCCAACGAACCAGGTTCAATTTTGGATATATCTTAGCTATTTGTAGTTAATGTGACAGCGTTTTATCACAATATCCACCCCAACAAATTCCAAATAATAATAAAACTCACTTTAAAACCAAAAAAAAAAACTTTCTATAAGATAAAACAAAACACAAAACACACACACACACATATATATATGTACCTACCTTTAACCTCCCTAAAGCCATTGTTGCAACGCTATACACAATCTGCATCATTGCTAACACAAATATGAAGATACTCAGCTGATTGATCCCTTCTTGCGATATAAGCGAAGTCATTCTCTGTTGCATATATAACACCACCACATTAATCTCACATTCACATAAAATGATCCAATATATATATATATATATATATATATATATAATTACATACTTTAGAGGTACAATGATCAGCAGAATAATTGTCTTGGGCTGCTAATCCTCTTTCGTGACGCCATGTTGAATCTTCTTCAAACACCACTACTTCTGCTAATCCTCTTTCGTATTGGCCTAGTGCTTTTGTGGTTTTGGTACTTGCACTATGTCGGCATGGCAGCATTTTATCGGCTACATGTGTGGGTATGCATATTTTTGTAATTGGTCTTTGAGTCACTGCTAATAGTAGTGACAAAAACCCCAACAGCATCAAAACTGCACCAAATCCAACCAAAAAATATCAATCCCATCCCATATAAAGGTGTATTGTTGAAGGAATAAAGGGCTGTTTGGAAGTAATTAATTTGTGGAAATAATGGCTTCAAATTGCCCCTAAAGCTTTATTCTAGTGTTTGCTCCGAGTGGGAAGTAATTCACGATCATTCGGAACAGGATTAGTGAAGAGTTCGAATCTTTTGCGATACAGTATAAGTATTGTATTGTATAGAATGGTACCCAAACATCACACTGTGATGCTTGTGGGCCGGCTGATAAAACTGATTTCATTTTGTTAGCGGCAACTTGAAGTCATATATATATTGTTCCTTGATTTCAATTATTAACATGTACACTTGAGAGATAGTGTTATATGAAATTTGGTCAAACTCACCTGATTTAAGCTTCTCAACTGCCTCAAACAAAGCATTTTTTCTATGTTTCTTGAGCCACTACAACAAATTCAAAACAAACTAGGCATGAGTGAAATTTAATCATTCCAACAAAAAGTAACTTCTACAAACTCTTAATTTCAAATATATATGTCGCATATATGTAGCTTATAAGTTGTCTCATATATATATATATATACTTACATGGCTTATAAGATGGATCAAGTGTTCAATAAAAAGGCCACCAAAGATGAATATGAAACAGACAGTTGCCAAAGCCCAAGTGGGAGTGAATTGCAACGAGCGACTGGCGGTTGTCATCGTCGTCGTTGTCTCTCCTCCATCTCCGGCCGCCATAATTAACACAAATTTGTTCGGAAAAGCTCAATAATAGCAACAGAGGACAGACGAATTAATTGAAGAAAAATAAGGGTTTTGAAGGATTATATATGATTTTAAGATTGTTGGAGGAGGAGGAAGAAGATAAGACAAGTTCAACATTCATTGAAGTGATATGGTGAAGGTAGCATCTGCGATATATATGATTTATATATATGTATATGTGTGTGTGTGTGTGTATATATATATATATATGTTGAACACTGGAATTTTGGAGACTTGGCTAATGTTATAGCACTGGAGAAGCTGGTCATGTGTGGTTTGACTTGGTTATTCATTGGATTTAGGGGACTTTATTTGGTGAAATTAAGATGTCTAGATGCCAAGACTGGGTTGGTGGGACCCACTTTTTTTGCCCCAATTTTTGTCCTACACCAATGAGGGTTTAAAGAGAATTTCGTATGGTTCATCTTTCATACTACGTATAATATAGAAATATAATGGTTGCACCCAAAGTATTGGTGACCGTCGGATGCGACCAAGTGAGATCTTGAATCGGTTGAACATTTCAGGCTGTCCAAAATTTTATATAATGGGATTTGACTTTAGATAGTCATGAGAGTTGTCTAGATACTGTTATTTTCATAAAATAATTCAACAATCATACATTTTTATTTTCATACAACTTTATAGAACGTTTTTAAAAAAATATATTTTTTTCTAGTTTTAGAAACTATTTATGAAGAAGAAAACCAAGTAAGACCTAAGTTATTATTATTATTTTTTTTAAAAGATATTTTGATTTGAATACTGACTTTTATTCTGGGTTACCACTTTTTATTGATTGAGACTCTTCCATCAAGATTCAAGAAAACCTAATGATTAAAAATATGAAGGAAAAAAAAATGGATTACAATTTAACAATTTACTTTTATCTTTGACATAAAAAGGGAAAAAAGAAATAAGAAAAAAAGCAGGAACTATTTCTTTAACCCAAACGACTGCATCTATAATTGTGATCCAAACAAGTGAGATGGAATCATGGAGAGTTGTCGTCCTCCTCGTATCTAAGAAGCAGAATTTTGAATAACAAAAAGAAAAAATAAATAAAATAAAAGAAAACCTATTAAAGACATAGATTAAATGTTTAGGGGCTGTTTGAGAAGTGTTATGATATTATTTTTTTAATATTGGTATTTAAATTGGAACTTATATAGTACTTGAGACGGTTAATATTAGTTTAAAATAGTTCATAACATATCAGATATATATATATATATATATTTTTGCTAAAACCCATATCCATATGGCTGTATTGTGCGTTTTGTATGGTAGCAAAGGAGCTACAACACGACATCTAAAACACATCCCACACTTTACTAAATGGCCATTAATATATGACATTTAACAAAGATATCAAATATAGAGATGGGAAGAGTCAAATGCTATTGCCATTTTAGCTTAGATGTTTGTTCTTTTTGTAATTTTGGTGGGTTTTATACCTTGTTTGGCTGCCTATAGCTCTTATAGCTTTGTGCGTATTTTTCCTACAAGAAAATATTTGTATCCCTATTGAAAATGTACATCATCTTATTGATGTGCATCAATAATATATGAACATGCCTACATACTCACTAACCAAATTAAAAATGATGAATTAATTGTTTGATAATTAAAATAAAATATATCAATTTATTATTGATCACATATCAATTTATTATTGATCACTGTCTTACAGTAATGCGGAGAAAAAATTTGAGAACAATTTTTAAAATTTGTACAATATGTTGAAAATTAAAATAAGAAATATAGACATGAGGCAAATTCGTCACCTATCTACGCGTCACTATGTGTCTCGGACTTTGGGTCCTTGTCTAGGTGATTTTACGAAAGTCAATTACATTTATACAAAAAAAAAAAAAATTGTTTTTTTAATACTAGTTTCTCAATAATACCAAAAAAAAAATGTAAGTCATTATAAAAATATATTATTATGAGAGTAGTGTTTTTTAGAAACACATTCCTATAAAGTATTTCTTGTGTTGTTGATACAAGTTCATTAATATTATGTTTATGATTATTGGATCGACATGTTCAAAATGGAGAATATAAATACAAATATATATATATATATATATATATATATATTATATATATATATATATATATAACAAAAAATTAAACATGACAGTCCTTTAATGAGAGAGTTTTCTAGAAACGGGTGCTGGCAAATTTACTAATGGAAATTTCTTATGTTTTAAAAATATTAGTTCATTAATAGATTGAAGAAGTAATACAAAAATGATTATTTTCAATGTTCAATTAATTACTTTATTTTCTGAAACAGAAAAAATAATAATAATAATAAATAACAAAAACTATATATATATATATATATATATATATATATATATATATATATATATATATATATATACTTTTCACACGAAAATTATAGGGTTAATTACAGTGACACCCCTTGAGATTTGCCTTATTGACATGCAGATTAAACTTGGCCAATTTTTGAACATTCACACTCCCTGTCAGCTTTTTGATAAATTGCCCCTTGATATTTAATTAATTTTTAATATAAAATATCAGAGTTACTAAATGACCTAAATGCCCATATCATTAAAGTCTAAGAAAGACAAACGCGTTTGCCCTTTATTTCCAAGCCGGCGATGGATTATTTTTCCAATGGGAGGTGAACTGCTGAGGGCTAGGAGTATGTGGGGTGCAGAGGGGTAGTGTGAGGAGAGATCGGCGGTGGCTAGTGGCGGTGATGGGTTAATTATCAATCACGTGTTAGGGTTATCAAGAATTCAAGCTTCTCATCATTAATCTCGTATCAAGATTCGGTAATTTGATATATCGAATGGCCTTATATCTTCAAATGAATTCCTAATATCTTTAATGTTGTTACAATCATAGGAATTCCTAGTCAAGGATCGGCTTTGTGAGTTGTTGATGTATTATTATTTATAATATAGCTTGAATTTGAATAAATTAATTATTATTTTTGTTTAAATTGAAGAATATGCATGTAGGAGATTTATTTATTTTCTCTCTCTTCTCACTTTGAGTATGATTTCAATGGTAATCCCTTTTTTTTTTTTTTTTTTTTGGCCCATTAACCCTAAAACAGACACTAAAGAAACCCTAATCAGTATATATATAATTGATTGTTATGCTTTAACATCAACATATTCATTGGAGAACAAAATATATCAATGTGTGTATACACAACCATTACCAGAGAACAAAATCCTATTACACACAAATAGGTGAATTCACACTGATATACACACGCATATAGACGCCCCATTTAATTCTTTAATTGCAAGGACTATGTATGTATATATTTTTGGCAGCAATTGGCGATTTTTCTGGAGATTGATTCACATTTTAAATGCTTATCAATTGTTGGCTAGCACGTGTCTGTCTATTTATGTGTGTATATGTATGTGTGTGTGTATATATATATATTTATCTATGAATATATAAAGGTTAAAACAGTAATTTTAGGATTTAAATAAGTCAATTCACAAATCAAAGGGTATGAAGGTCAACATTGTCAGGGGTGTCAATGTTAACTTTAGCAACCTAAAGGAGTGTGATTGTCCAAAACAGAGCCAAGTTTCATCTAATTGTCAACAAGGCAAACCACAGGAATATTATTGTAATTAACCCAAAACTGTATTGATAAACCCAGAAAGGCAATTTTCCTTGTTTCCAGAAAAAAAAAATCAGAAGCTGACTTTTGTTTCCCAGTTTTAATATCTTTCAATAACCATTTTAAAATTTTGTTTTTGAAAACGACGTCAAATTGACCCTTAATCAGCCCCGATGCCGGTCCCTGTTCATCCATCATAGTACCAGGCTGACGTCACCTTAGAAATCAATTCTTCTAGAGATTAAGGGCAGGATGACTTGGATATTTAAGAATTTTAAGGTGGTTATATCTACATATATATTTATATTTATATTACGGGATAAGATTTTTTTTTAATCGTGATTTAAAGTGAAGACAAATCAAACAATCTCTTCTTTAAAAGTAAGCATGTCTTGCATTTCATCCTTTCCAAATCTGTAATGGAAGAATGATCAATCTTCTATTTAAAATTTTAGACTTTAATTATTTCTAAATCTCTGAATAAAAAGATTGTAAATTATTTTATTCAAACAAAATTCATAATTATTCTAAAATAACCCTTATGGCCATCTATCATGATTATTATCTATTATATTTATTATCAAGAAAAACTTTGACACATTTTACAAAAAAAAAAAATTAAATGTATTATATTCATTAGAAGGACATGTGTCAATTTTTTTTTTTTCCTACTTACTAAAATTAGAATAAACTTTTCGTTTAAGATTAAATAACTGCTTAGTTTATTGTAATTCCTAATGATTATCTGTATGATTACTTTACTTAGAGATGGCACAAAAAATTTGACCTTCCTCATTGAGCAATTATTATCCAATATTTGGTTATCCACTTTTGCTTTGGTCAAGGGAAATTAGTACTAATTAATAAATACAGTAATTAATTTGGTTTTTATAAGGGGATGGGGAATTAATACGATATTTTTAAATAATTTATACCAGAACTCAATTGTTGGCAAATTCAAAAGTTGAATAGCACATGTACTATTAAATAATAATAAAAAAACAAATTAGTACTTTAAAAAAAAAAAAAAAGTGTCTAACGATTTTTTATCGTTGAAATGTCATCATCAAGCTATCACATGAATAAATAAATTTTGAGATGACCATTTGTTAACCTTTTACTTGTCAAACTTTTTAATATTCAAATATAAAATTCTCTAAAAGTCAACAATTTTGATAAACTTGTTCAGCCATGGAGACATTACATCTGTATCAGTGCTGAAATCTACACTTAATCACTTATGCTATATGTTTGTATTGGATATTAATCTCTCTAAGAGCAGTGTTTACTTGATCCTCATACAGAAGCTACAATCACATCAATGCTTGGAATTGGAATTGGTTCCCTCCCAGTAAAAAATATCTAGGGGTTCCACTCATCACTAATAACTTGAAAATCATCTTATTGCAGCCAACTAATTAAGAAGATCACAAATAGAATCTCTCATTAGTCCTCCAGATCTCTTTCTTATACAGGAAGGCTCCAACTTATTAAAGCAATACTGGTCTCAACTCAAGTTTATTGGTCGAGTATCTTCATTCTCCCCAAAGCAGTCATCAATGAGCTCAATCAAATCTTCAGAGCATTCCTTTGGTCAGGGCCTAAAATGAAGACAAGTGGTGCTAAAGTGACTTGGAGCAAAGTCTGCTTGCCAAAAGAGGAAGAAGG